AAAAAAAACACATTATAATTTATGTAGTGCAAAGAAGCAAGGTGAATAAACAGTGACGTAAGTAACTGAAAACATAAGTGTGAATCGGTTAAAGCCAGGAGCTCAAGGAGGATACATAATAGTTTCACAGTCACACATGTGGAGGATGTGGTGCTGCCATGAGGGCTATGTGCATTGGCTTCAGGTATGAATGATATAACTATATACTATATACTGTGTAATAATGCTTACACAATTAAAAAAAAACACCTTTCATTTGAAGAAAAAAAAAAAACTACTTCCTTTGCACCAGATCAACCAGAGCAGCTCTCCTCATTGAGAATGACACACCCACATCCAACTGCTCTGGCTTCTGCAGTTTGCAGCTTACACCATCCAGCGACATCCAATCACAACTTGGGGGCTGGGCTTAGTGAAAGAGACTTGTCCAATAGCGAAGGAGTTTTTGAGGTCAGCGGGGTATGCTGTTTCTGTGATGGAGAGAGACTGGGGATACTTCATGGAAAAATGGGAACGGTAAAATGACTCAATTGTATTAAACCTGAAATAATTTGAAGAAGTCATTCAGATGTTTGAATAAACATGATATCAATGTCCATTTAAGATGAACTCCCACTTTCTTCTCTCAGGTATCTTGAGTGAGGGGTGTGTCATCAGTTAGCAGTCCATTGGTCTTTCAAGATTCAAGATTTTTATTTGTCACATACACAGTTATATACAGTATATAACTTGCAGTGAAATGAAAACCTGGCCTACTCCTCTTTAGACTGGGCATTTTAATACTAAATTAAAAATCTGAAATGAAAAAGAAAGAAGAAATAAGAAATATATGTACAGGAATGTGCACAAATGGCTGTCCAAAATAAGCAAGGAATGAGCAAATCATGGATGTACAAAATATGCATGTACAGTCAGGTCCATAAATATTGGGACATCGACACAATTCTAACATTTTTGGCTCTATACACCACCACAATGGATTTCAAATGAAACAAGATGTGCTTTAACTGCAGACTGTCAGCTTTAATTTGAGGGTATTTACATCCAAATCAGGTGAATGGTGTAGGAATTACAACAGTTTGCATATGTGCCTCCCACTTGTTAAGGGACCAAAAGTAATGGGACAGAATAATAATCATAAATCAAACTTTCACTTTTTTAATACTTGGTTGCAAATCCTTTGCAGTCA